CCCGAGAGCCTGCATTTCTAGCAGACAAGCACCCTGGGTAGCTATCATCCTGCTGGTTGGCGTCACACTTAGAGGGGCAGCCTCCGAAGAAGGTAGCAGCCAGGTGGCCCGCAAGGGGCCGTCTGTGCCAATCATGGTCCTTTCCCCTGGGAGTTTTGCCCCGTGGCTTCCTTGGGGCCTCACCTGGGCCTCAGGGATCGTTGAAAGCAAGACCTGCGGGCTGTCTTAGTGGGGGGCAGTGGGGCAGGTGGCCAGCCAGAGTGAAAGTTCTTCATGGAGCAGGATTTCCTCAGCTTCCTGCACCACCTGCAGTTTCTTCATTTCACATTTGTGGCTTCAGATTTTGGTTGTTGGGGGTTTTGTTGTATTACCTTTGTTTTCAGGGTCTCTGGGTGTATTCCTAGGTCAGGAGTGAGGCAGCTGTAGGCCAAAGGTTTTCTTTTTGGAGGCACAGTAAACAGCATTTCTAGCCAGAGCTAAAGAAGTGACAGGTGGGAGGAAGGGTAGGATGTGGGCTTTCTTCTTGGTCACTTTCGTTAGAAACCCAGCTTCTCTCCATGCAGTGGGCCTTCCACAGTGAAGTGGTGCTGCGAAAGTAGATGTTTCCATGCCCCCCCGATACAGATTACCATCATTTTGAGCCTAAACCAAATGACGCCTAGAACTGGGTCTGGCTGGATCCTTTGCTCATACCCAGAATAGGATGTTTTGGTTCCCACCTGTGGAAGTGGCTGGGTACTGGGAACCACAAGACGGCTTGTGTGGGGTGTCAGCTCTTGCCTGGGAGCTTGTGTGGGGACGGCCCTTACACAAGGCAGGACGTGCATGGCTGCTGCCCCTTCAGCCTTGGGGTTGGTCCTTTTCTCTTTCACACAAGCCCTCGCAGCCTTGGCTTGGAATCTGGAGGGACTGGGATGGAAGTACGGTAGGCGTGGCTTTGCTGTCTGCAGTTGCAGGCTCGGGTGCCCAGAAGAGCCCACATTCTGCAATTCTGCATCCCCCAAAGCCAGATTTCTGGAAGGGCTTTCTTGCCTTTTGGGCCTCGGACAAGTGAGGAGCTCCTCCAGGGAGAGACCCGCCTCTTCTGCCCCCATCCTCACCCCAGCGAGTTTGGGGTGGGCAGAACATACATGCAATTATGCCACCAGGGGTTAATTGCCAACAAGGAAGATTCTGGTTCCACAGTCTCCTTAAAGACTTAAAGAACCTGAAGGACTTCTGAGGTGTGGGCACTGTGCTGGAATGAACCGCTGAAGGTGGCGAGAAAGGCTCAGGCAGCTAAAGCAGCCACGCAGGCCACTGTGTGGCCTGACCCTGTGGGCTAATTGAACACAAAGGTTTTACAGGATTGCCTGGTTGGTGTTTTCTAAGAACAGAAGGAAGGGAATTGCATGGGGCCCAGCTGGGGAAGTGACACACTGACTCACCTGGGGCTGCGGGTTGCGGACATCCATTAAGGCCCTGCTTTTGGAACAACAGGCGGGTCCTCCTGCTGCCATGATGGGCCCTGGGGCTTGGAATCCTCCTCACTCTAGGCCAGACTGGGGAGTCACTGCCTGTGTCAGGGGCCTGCGAGCGGTGGCTTTCCTCAGGCTGAGGCTAGAGAGATACTGGACGGGCCCAGGGGCAGCCCCCTCGGCTGACAGATGGGGCAGGTGGAGTTGGGGCACGTGGTGCAGCCAGGAGCATATGGGTTTGGGGGCCGCCGAGAGCCAGGCTTCAGTCCGTGGCTCAGAGCTGGGCTGAGCTTCTCTGGGCCTCAGTTTTCCTCATCTATAAGTTGGGGCTAAAATTGACCTCACAAGGTCTTGTGAGAAACAAAAGAAAGTCATGTGTACAAGGAGGCTGGCATTTGAGTGTGTGATTTCAGTTTTAACCCATGCTCTCTGGGCCTCAGGGGGAAGGCGGCAGCAAACCGTGCCAAACAAAACAGCAGGATTCGTGTGGACGCATGACCTCAATTTTGCCCCCCTAGGATAAGGGGAAGGCACCATGAAACCCCCTCAGTCCACCGTTGGTGGGTCTGTGGAGAGGTGCTGCCCTCTGTGTGTTCTGTGGAAATAAAAGCAGTGCCTTGGTGGTGGTGCTGGGTGCCCCATTTTCGAGGCAGACACAGGAGGAGCCGGGCAGATTCCTAGGAGGAAAACTGCAGATACAGATGAAACAGCGCCTGCTGCCTGACATGCCTCAGAATCATGGAAGGCAGCTTCCGTTTCCTTACTCCGCTCAGCCGGTCGCCAGTTGTCCTGGACCCCCCAGCACATGGCTCCTGGCAGTCCTGGAAGGGTTTTCTGGAGGTCTGCCTGCTGACCCTGCCCTCAGGGAGGCTGCCCTGGAGCCGTTTAGAGGACCTCTAAGGAGAGCATCGGGAAGGGAGGACCTGCTTCCTCCCAGGTTTGCCTGGGCCAGGTGGGAATGGGAGGTTCCTGAGCCACCCAGGAGGTGTCCTGAGACCACCTGGGGCCGATTTCCAGCAGAGCAGCGGATCTCAGGCCCCAACACTTTTTGTGGTGTCAGTTGGTTGGGTTTTAGTTAACACTGTGCTACCTGTGTCCTGAATTGTGACTCAGTTCGGTGGCCACAGCAAAGAGTATCCTCCCAGCTCTGGGATTTGACAGAACCTCCCTTGAGCCTTACAGACACCGGTGAAGTCCTCAGGGGCACTCTCACACCAAGTGTCCAGCGTTCATGACATGGGAGGCTATTGGGCAACTTTCGCTCCACGCGTGCTGCTCACTGGCCCACACCCTTGAGTTGCCAGCCTGTGCTGTGTGCCCAGGTTGTGTGTTTGGTGGAGCGAGTGGGGCTGATCAGCAGCTTCTTTTTGGCAAATCCTCATTCCCTCGGAGTCAGCTTTGTTCCAGAGAAGGGAAACATGTCAAGAAGAGTGGTTTGGTGTCTGAATATCAAATATTCTCAGCTGTAACTAACTACAGCCCAGCTCAAAGTAGCCTGAACACTGAGGTTGTCACGGGCTGTCTTAACAGCAGGCTTTGGGGGTGGTTTCATTCGGTGGCCCTAGTGCTGTTTCTCTCTGTTTTCCTACTCTGTCTTGTTTGTGTCTTCAATATGATTCCCTCTTGGTGACACAATGCCTGTGGCAGAACCGGGCTTCTCATTGCTGGCCAGAGGGTGGATGTCTTGCCAGTGGCTCTCCTCTAAGCATGAGGAAGCATGGTTTCCATAAACCCCAGCAAACCTCTCTCATGTCTCACTGGTCAGGTTGGGCCCTTTGGCCTGGGCTGATCAACTCAGCCTGGCCAGCGGAGAGGACGTCCCTCAGACCAGTTGGTTTACTCTGAAGCTTGGGCTGCGGTCAGGTTTCCCTGAACACTCAGGCCTGTGGGATGGACCCTGAATAGATCATGGGCTACTTTTAAGGAGGTAGGAGGAAAGAATTGGGGGATGGGCAACCGTATGAGCTGTGATCGCAAAGTTGTTACCTTTCGTATCTGAATTTTGGTCCCTTCTGCAATGTCCTGGGACTTCCTCCCTCTCCCCTCTCCTACAAAGCCTCCCCCACTTATTCGTGGGGGCGGGTGCTGGTCCTCACACGTTAGTCCGCTCTGGTCTCCCTGCTGAAGTCTGATGCCTGAGACCCCTCAAGGCGCCGATGACTGCCCGTCTGCCCCTGCTGTTCTCCCGGGCACCGTGCATTTTCCTGCTGTTCTGCCAGGCACAGCTCTTCTGCGCTGAGGGCGTCTGGTGGTCTCAGGGACTAGGGGAGGATGTCCCCCTCCAGTCTCTGCCCCACCCCATCGTTTGGGCCCCCAGGCAGGGCTGCTTGAGCTTGTCATCTTCAGAGCACCTTCCTCCACGCCCATCCTGCCCCCTCCCCCAGGTGGGAGTCAGTTCACCACCCGTGGCGGGGGCAGCTGCAAACCACCCGCTCCACTGGCCTCTTTTCCCCGCCTCCCCTTCTTTAGTCAACAGTCAGAAGACCCCCAGCTGCACACAGCTCAGGCACCTCCACTCGCCCATAGCCCGCCTTGCCAAACCCAGTTCTGAGTGGATCCAAGATGATGTTCAAGACGGGTGGAGGATGTTGAAAGGAATTCCTCTCCTGGGCCTTTGAGGGTCACCCTGCAGCTGCCTGGTTTGTTTCCTCCAGCTGCTGCCCCTCCTCCGGCTCTTCCCTGCTCATTTCCTCCAGGGCAGAGGACAGATGCCAGGTCTCTCTCACTTGTGGGCTTCTTCCTTTCTTTCTTTTTCAGTTATCACTTCAAATATGTAGTAATTTTCCCCCCACCCCCGCCCCGAATTGAGAACTAGTATGTTATTAAATTTTGGAAAATACAGAAAGAGATAAAGAAAAAAATGTCTCCCATAGTCCTACAGTTCAGAGAAGAGCACTGTTAACCTCTTGGTGGTTTTCTTTCCAGTCTCCTTTCAAAATGTGTGGATGAATACTCTTGAAAGTGTGGTTGGGTCGTGCTATATGCACAGTTTTATATCCTCCTGTTTTCATTGAATAATGAGAATTTGATTATGAGCATTTTCCATGTCATTAAATATTATTTTATAGCATCATCTTTCAGTTGCTGTGTGGTTTTCTGTTAGATAGATGTACCATGATTTAGTTTTCCATTATTTTTTAAATAGTGCTACAGAGGGCATCCACGATTGTTTCCACAAAATAAATTTCTAGAGGTGAAACGGGTTTGCTGTTTCACCTCCCAGCCTGAGCGCTGTCCGTGTTCTCAGGGTACAGGTTTCATAGCCCCTTCCTTGGCTTGGAGTTCAAATCCCAAATGAATTGTCCCCTCAGGCAGTGCCAAGATACTTGCTGCATTATACCATCGACCGTCCCTGGGCAGCGGGAGGTCGGGAGGTTTCGGGTCCTTGTCATCACTACCCGCCCAGTATCATGTGATTACACTATGTCATGGTTCCCTTGGCAGTGCCCTTTCAATAAAAACAGTGCCCAGATGTTTTGGGGGGACGGCACAGCCCAGGAACTTTCTCATGGGATAATAAAACCCTTACAACTCTCGTTACAGTGGGAAGATGCCTGAAGTGGACTATGTGGTCCTGTCGGAATGGTTTGACTGGATCGTGAGGAACATTGACGTGTCCATTGACTTGATAGGTGAGACAGTCCCTCCCTGGCCTCCCTGCCCTGGGCCCAGTGAGGAGGTGGTTGGCTGGGCCCCAAGCAGCAGGGGTGGTGGGCAGGGCCCTCACCATAAGTGATGCTTCCCCTACCTTGACTCAGCCTTCTCCCAAAGGGCAGATAGAATCTGGGGCTTTTGGTCCCTCCTGGAGAAGCACCCTGGCCAGTTCCTCAAACTGCTTTCCCCTCGGTCCCTTGTGATATGATGGGTTTTTTCTAGTTTGTAAAGGAGGGAGGAGGGATAGAACCTGGACAGTTACTGAGACAGGCTGGGTACCAGGCCCTGTGCTAAGCTCTGTCAATGTACGGAGCCTATTCAGCTTCACAGTGACCCTGTGGGGCTGGTGACGTGGAAAGAGAATGAAAGTCAGGATGAGGGTCAAGATGCCTGTTTGGCCACACAGCTGGTCTGCCTCTCCTGCTCAGGGCTGCTGGTAGATGTTTCTCTCCATGCCTTGCCCACACGCCTTCCTTCCCCCTACCCCTCACTTTCACTTCCAAGCCATGAACAGAGTAATTAAAGCCACATATATGTTTTTTAAAATCTCAGTTTATCTCCAGACCACTCCTGAGACCTGTTACCAGAGGCTAAAGATGAGATGCAGGGAAGAGGAGAAGGTCATTCCACTGGTAAGAGCCCCTCTAACCCGCGGAAAGGTGCAACTTCATCCCGTCCTGGCCCCACCCTCTGTGAGGTCATTGTGCTGTTGTTTCAGGGAGAGAAACAGGAACTGAGCACGTTGGAGGGTGAACTCTTGACGTCCTCTGAGCTGGAGACCTTGTGCGGTGTCCAGGTCTGCTTCACTTCCTGTGGCCCCAGACTCAGTGGTGGGCACCCCCGGGGCTCAGAGGCGTCCCTTCTCCCGTTCCCGCCCAGGTGTCCCCAGGACTTGTTTGGTCCACTTCCTGAAAATTGCTTGCCTTTGTGCTGTCCCCTGGATCCTCGCTAGAACGTGCCCACTTGCCCGCTGTTGCATTGCCAGTGCTTGGCACGGTGCCTGGCTGGGAGGTGAAACTCACTAGTGTCTGCCCAGTGCCTCACCCTTCTGGGTTCTGGCTCAGGGCCACATCAACTCTAGTCAGGGCTGTCTAACAGGCTTGGACTGCTCTCCTTGCCCTGGTCCCTCACTATCCGCATCCCCCTCAGAAATCCATCCTCCACACTGCTGCTTGGGTGATGTTCCCAGTACAGAACACCACGCATGCAGTTCCCTGACCCCACCCTCTTCAGTGCCTCACCACTGTCTAGGATAAAGTCCCCACTTGTAGCATGCCATCCGAGATCCTGCATGATTGGCTTCATCCCCTTCCACTCCCTGCCTTTCATGCTCTGGCCGTAAAGAACTAGTTGTGGCTACACATGCTCTCCCTCTCTCTCTTCCCCTCTCTCCCTCTCTCCCCCTCCCTCTCCCCCTCCCCTCTCCCTCTCCCCTCT